GGGTTCCTTATGATGGAAAATGCAGTTGATGTTTACTGACTTGATTTGATTTGGATAGTTAGAACCATGCCAGGGAAGGCCCCAGCTAGAGATCCTCTGCTATTCCTCATTTCACAGAAAAGGAAATTAACTTGTTGCTCAAGTTAAATTGATCAAGAATTAAGTTTTTCTAATTTTTTTTTTCTTTGTATGTGTGTGTTAGGTTATGGATAACTTGTGTTCTGGGGAAACCCAATTGTTTATTTAAAGCTTTAGTAAGAATAGCAAATTAATGGTATGTTGACAGGTGAGACTTTTTTCCTTATCCTCTCCCTTTTATCTCTGCTGCATGTCTGTTAGGTTTACCTAATCATACAAACATCTTTCATCAATAACGTCTCTCTAGCAGACTTGGTGGGTCAAATGAAATTATAGTTGAGTCAGGCTAATAAGTGTGAGCGGGAGGGCCAATGAGTCTCAACTCCATGACTAGTGATGGAGTTTCAGGGCAGTCAAGGTCACTTGAATTATTTGCTGCTGCTGGTTTGTGGGACAGCAGATCCAGCCTACTAGTGCGGGAACCTTCTCTTGCTGTCCCACTCGTGTTCTTCCTCCTTGTAGCCACAGGCTTGTGAGCATCCAGAAAGGCCATGCTCTGCTTCAGAGCAGCCGGATGGTGTGAAGATGAGCAAGAAGATGGAAAGAAGGCTGTGTGTCTTTTCTGTCAAGTGTTGGCTGTCAACTTTTACAAAGTGCGTGTCCTGAATTAGGAGTTCAAAGTCGTAGACTTCTGAATTTGAGAAATGATGATAGGTCTTCAGATTTAAAGGTTTGTAAATACTTTCAGCTTTCCGCTTTCTCTGTTCAGCCTCCTGTTCTCTTGTTAACCTCTTTGGCTGTGTGCTATTCTGTTTTTGATGTAAAATTCACCTTTTTCTTGCTCAGCCTCTTATCTCCACAGACCATGGTCTAGAGAAATCCTCCGGTTGCTGCATTGTTTTCCCTCCATCTGTACTGTGCTCCTTTAGTGTCATGGGAGTGGGCACCTGCCTCTTGAAGCCTCCATCCCGTGAGAGGAAGGAGACTTTGAGTATGTGTCCCTTATTTGTGCTTACTTAACCAACACTGTGTGTTCTATTAGTAAGTATGCAAATACATATATTTTACCATTCATGCATTTTGTATAAGCTAAGTGATGAATAAACTAATTAGATGTTCAACTTGATTTTGGAAACACAGTGTCTGAGTTTAAGACTGCAGTGCATTTGAAACATTGCAAAGTGATAAGAATTTTTTTTTCCAATTCTTATAGGAGTATTGTGTTTTGGCATAGCAAGGTAAGCTTCTGTTTGCAATACTGGTATCCCATATTGGACTGCCAGCTTGAGTCTGGGCTTCTGTTCTTCCAATCTAACTTCATGCTAATATGCCTGGGAAAGCAGCGAAGGAGGTCCAAGTGCATGGATCTGTGCCACCTTCGTGCAGGTCATGATTCCTGGCCTCATCTGGCCCTGAGCTCTGGCTTTTGTGACTGTCTGGGGAATAAACCCACAGAGGAAAGTTTTTCTTTCTTGCTCTGTTTCTCCCTGTCTCTGTTGCCTTGCCTTTCAGATATTTAAGACAGTTGAAAAAAAAATCTCCTAAAGGTGTGTGTCTTAAAAATTATTTCATGAACCCTGTCAAAATTGCTTACAAAAAGATGAGTAAATTGCTTACCTGTATATGCTCAGCTGCAAAAAGATGAGTCACCAAGATAACCTTCCAAGTACTTTGTGTACTGGGTTACAGCCTGAATTGAATCTGATGGGTGGGAGAGATACCCTGGAAATGGGACCATTGGCATCCCTGTGGGTGCAGTGTCACCAGCGGGGAGAGCTGTGACGGACTGCAGGATGAGTTCAGATGTGCAGAATGTTGAGATACACAGGCAAAAGCATTCCCCCTCTCTCCCTTCCCCTACTCCCTGTGTGCGCGCACGCGCGCGCACACACACACACACACACACACACACACACACACACACACACACACACACCCTCGGTTAGGGAGCTAGCTTGTTTTCCAAGATCAGCAAGTATTCCTTTCCTCTTTGGAGAGCTGTCGTGAAGAAGCTCTGTGGTTTTAACTTAATGCAAGTATTTCTCTGCATCCTCAGCCTAGAAAAAGCTTTACATTTGTTTTTGGAATTCGAGGAAAGTTTCCTAACTTTGAAGCTTGAGGACACTCTCGTGTCTGTTTAGGGAACCGTTCATATTTCTGCTACTCTGATTCCACGATGCCAGAAGCCCCTCCGTGATTGCTCACTGTGGAGAGCCGTATGTGGCCTTAAGATCAATCCAATTCAGAAATCGTGTCAGTTGCTTCTTAAACTGATTTCTTCCAGTTTTCAGTGTTTTTTTCTTTTTTCCTTTGTGACCTTCACGCACTGTTCATAATGTTTGGAATACTTTCTTTCCTTAAAATTGTGGTAAAATACACATAACATAAAAGCTGCCACTCTAACCACTAATTGTAATATTATTTGTGGAGTGTGATATAGCAGTACTTGTATCCAGTGTGTGCTGAGTAAACAGCTTAATCAGCATTTTGCCCCCTTTGGCATGCATTTAGGATGGGAGGGTTGGAGTTTTTGCCTGTTGCTCAGGTCAACAGCATTGACCAGGCACCTCCAGAACTTTCTTTGTCATTTCGTACTCAGCTGTGTCCATTGTGTAGTAAATCCTAATTCCCACAGTTCCCTACTTTCTGCCTCTGTTCGTTGGACTCTTCTAGATATCTCATGTAAATAGGAATATTCTGTCTTTTGGTGACTGCCTTGTTTCACTTAAAGTGATGTCTTCAGAATTCATCACTGCTGTAGCACATCAGCATTTATTCCATTTTAAGAATAAGTAAAATCCTGATGTTTTCCTTTATCCCTTTTCCCATCGATGAGCCCTTGGGTTACTTTCCGTTTCTGACTATTGTGAATAATTCCTCTATGAACCCGCATTCAAAGATACTTCCTTCGATCTCTGTTTTTTGCATTTCTTGAGTACAGAATCAAGAATGGGATTGCCAAATTATAGGGTTGTTCTGTTTTTATTTATTTTTTTTTTCATGTTGTTTTATTCCTTTTGTGAAATGGCTTGTTACCACAGTGGCTGTGCCATGTTATATTTCTGCCACAGGGTGCAGTGGTCCCAGTTTCTACATTATTTGTTTTCAGTTTTTTTTTTTTTCAGGTTTTTTCAGATGGTAACTATTCTAACTGGTGAGAGGTGTTATCCCTAGCATTTCTTACCACTCTCCCTTTCTTTGCCTAACTTAACCTTGTACTTGCTTGGTTCTTCTCTGGGATGTCTGTTTTTCTGGAAAAGCTTCCCCAGGAGCTGGCTCTGCTTGCCTAGGTGAGGCACTGATATGCCCATCTTGGTTTCTTTGTATCACAGGCCTTCCATTGGGTTGCAGTTTGCTGGTTTGATGTCTGACCCTTCTGTCCAGTGCTGTGTTCCTTGAATGGAAGTGCTGTGTCATGGTGACTGTTGTCTCCTCGGTACCTGGCTGGCCTTGATGGGGAATGGCCTGTGCTACTTCAGGTTTCAGTAAATATCTGTGTGATTTGTGGTCTAGGCTTTGTAGGCAAGATTTGTGAATTAATTTTTTCGCTTTACAGTCTTGAACCGGGGATTTTGTGTCTAAATTTTGGTTTTTTACTTCTGTAAAGTGGGACTTTTGATAATTTGCCTCATTCCTGGTAGAATTTTTGTAAAGATCAGACGGTAGCAGAGAAGAAGCTGTCTCCCACAGTCAATCAATGTGAATGAAATGAAGGAGGAGAAGAAGCAAGGGACTAGAACTCAGACATTTTAGTCTGGCTGGTGATGACATTAACTTAACATTAAAAACCAGGAGAGGCCGATCTAAGAAAGCCAGGAAAGGAAAATGTTGACTTTGATTTTGATCTTATTGAATCTCAGGTTCAGGTGGGGACTTTCATGTTGTAATATCCTGGAGACAGTTTTAAATATAGGTTTAGGCTAGAGAAGAGGATTTGAGAGTTATCTGTAATGAACTCATTTTAAGAAGATGAGATTGCCTAAAGGAAGAATGTTTTTAGAGTGAGAGTGGAGGGAGCGTAGGCAATGTCTGTATTAAAGGGCAGAGGAGGAAGAAAGATCTGAAATCTGAAGTAGAGAATGAGAATGGAACCTAGAGTAGAGTAATAAAAAAGGAGGAAAATGTATAAAAACCATAGGCACAGGGGATTTTTCAGAACAAGATGCAGATAACTTTGCCCAGTGCCTCCCCGGTGACTGAGAAGGGGATGCTGGGATTCGGCAGGTGGGAATCTGCCATTAGCCTTGGGAAGAATTGAGAATGGTGGTGTAGAACCAGATGCTGGTACCTACTGGGGCAAAAGTGGCAGTAGGAGTTGTGGGAATTTACCTTAAACTTCTCTTCAAGGAATGCAGTAGGAAAAGAAAGGATGCAGATAAACTGAAGCAGTGCCAGTTAAGTACCATGTTCAAGTCCCCACACCTCCTAAGTGGCGGGGGCGTGGTTTAAATCAGTAAGTTCTAGTTCTGGAATTTGTGCTGATGGAGCCTACTTACATAGACGTTTAGTATCTGCAGTTAAAATCTAAGTAACACAGGAGCAAGCTTGGTCCTCTGTTTATTATGCTTCTATTGGGCATTTTGTACCTAAGAGAATTAGAAAAGAACCCGTGTGATGGTTTTAAGCCGTGGCGTATTTGCAGAAGGGTAATTCCTTGTTCTTTTTTTTTTTTAATCAGATAACCAATAGTGGTAATTTATCATTAATGATGTAATTGGAAGAGGAAGGTTGAGAACATAAAGTGCATATTTGAAATACGAATAAATATCTGCGGATGTAGTTAGAGAGATTGAGGCAATGCTTCTCTCTGAAGAAATTGACTTAACAAACAGTTGATGCCCCAGAATCCTGGGAATCAATCAATGAAAACAAAAAGGTATCTACTATGAATTATAAATCTCCAAATAAATGTTTATTAAGTAAGTTATTCTTTCAGGTATGCTTGTGGAAATTTTTTTACTGCTGCTATAAAAAACTTAACAGTTTGGTGTAGTTGCATGACCAGCTAAGAGGTTTTTATTATTACTGTTCAGATAACAGACATGTATAATTCAGTTGTGCTTACACGAGGGGAAGTATTTAATATCTGATTATGCAGCGCTTGCTTTGGACACAGCAGAGAGCCAGAGAGGGACAATGGAGAGCGGAGGATTATTAAATGGGCACTCGCCGAGGTCACTTGCTGCAGACCTGACTGTGACATGGCTTCCCCATGGCAGATTGTTTGATCAGTGCTTACTGGTTAAAGCTTTGTAAAATTACACAGAAAAATGAGATCTTGGCTGGTCCCACTGCAATTACTTACGATTGGGTTGCTAGCGGCCAAGTGCTAAGTTTGATCACACTAATGCTAAACTGACCACAACTCGTGACTCTGAGAATTCTGTCCTCCGGTCTTTGAGTAAAGTTTCATCAATTCTTATCAGCGAAGAATTGGAAGTTTTACATATATACATCTGGGGTCCAGTGCAATAGTCTAATGGCTAAAATCTTGCCTTGCATGTACCAGGATCCCACATGGGCACTGGTTTGTATCCCAGCTGCCCTACTTCCCATCCAGCTGCCTGTTTGTTGCCTGGGAAAGTAGTAGAGGATGGCCCAAAGCCTTGGGACTCTGCACCCATGTGGGTGGCCTAGAAGAAGCTCCTGGCTCCTGGCTTGGGACAGGCTTAGATCCAGCCATTGCAGCAACTTGGGGAGTGAACCAGTGGATAGATCTTTCTGTCTGTATTGCTCTCTGTAAATCTGACTTTCCAATTAAAATAATTAATAAATCCTTTAAAAAGATACATCTGATAGCATTGACAGACATGAGACTATTCAACATTTCTTCTTATTGAAGATATACTATCCATCATGTACATTCACGTTGTTGTGTCCATTCTTTTATTTTTAACCAATTTATTTCTTTGTTTTTTAATTGAACTTCTTTGTCGTGTATGGTTAGATATTACATTAAAAATCCGATCTGATAGTCTCTGCTTTTTAACTGAATTGCTTTGATTGTTTAAATGTTTCTATTTAATTTAGTGATTTGTGTTTTATTCTGTCTTTAAAATCTATTTCTGTTTTTTTGAGATTGTCTTTTTATAATTCTACCTTTTTCTCTTTGTTGGCCTATTACCTATAACCCTGTTTTGTTACCTCATGTTTGTTTTAAGATTTTTAGAATTTGGGCCCGGCGCGGTGGCGCAAGTGGTTAAAGGTCCTCGCCTTGCACGCCCGGGATCCCATATGGGCGCCGGTTCTAGTCCCGGCGGCCCCGCTTCCCTTCCAGCTCCCTGCCTGTGGCCTGGGAAAGCAGTCGAGGACGGCCCAACTCTTTGGGAACCTGCACCCGCGTGGGAGACCCGGAAGAGGCTCCTGGCTTCGGATCGGCATAGTATCGACCCGTTGCGCTCACTTGGGGAGTGAATCATCGGACGGAAGATCTTCCTCTCTGTCTCTCCTCTCTGTATATCCGCCTTTCCAATGAAAAAATAATAAAAATAAATCTTTAAAAAAAAAAAAAAAGATTTTTAGAATTTATCTTTTTGTTTAATTTTTTTTTTATGATTTATTTTTATTGGAAAGGCGGATTTACAGAGAGGACACACAGAAATATCTTCGATCCCCTGGTTCACTCCCCAAGTGGTCCTAATGGCTGGAGCTGAACCAGTCTGAAGCCAGGAGCTTCTTCCAGTTCTCCCACATGTATGCAGGGTCCTGAGGCTTTGGGCTGTCCTCTGCTGCTTTGCAAGTCACAAGCATGGAGCTGGATGGGATGTGGAGCAGCCGAAACTTGAACTGACACACATATGTGATCCTAGTGCATGCAAGACGAAGATTGAGCCACTGAGCCATTATGATGGGCCTGATTTGTCTTTATCTTAACCAGATGTTCCTTGAATTAGCATTATTGCACCTCATCTATAGCACAAGAATATTAGAACAGTATACTTACATTTCTTCTAGTGGTTATGCTGTTATTGTCATACATTTTACCTTTACATATTTTATAAACTCTACAATATAATATTTTTACTCTAGTTTTCTAAACGTGTAAATTGTGGAGAGTAAAGTCTTTTGTATTTTTCATGTGGTTACTGTTTCTTATGGTTTACATTCCTTTATGTAAGTTCAGATTTGTATCTAGTGTTATTTTCCTCCTGATTGAAGGTCTGTTAGTATTGAATTCTTTCTGCATTTATGCATCTGAAAGTGTTTATTTTGCTGTTGTTTTTGAAAGGTATTATGGCATTTCTCCATCATTTTCTAGCATTGTTCTTTTCACAGGATTTGTTATTCATCTCATGGTATTAATCCTGGATAGATAGTATGTCTTTTCATTGCTTTCAAAATTTTCTCTTTTTCTTTGCTTTGAACTAACTTTCATTTTGGTGTGCGTTGGTGTTGTTTTCATCACTTTTTTGTGTCTTAGATTCTTTGAACATCTTGCATCTGTGAGCTTCTGTATTTTTTTTTTCAATCAAAATTGGAAAATATTTGACCCTGTTTTGTTTTACTCACAGTCTCCTCTCCTTGGTGATCCCAGTTATCTTGTTTAGCTGCTGGAAGTCACCCTACAACTCAACGGTGCTCTGTTAGTTTTTTCCTGTCATTTTTCTCTCTTTTGTTTAGCTAACTTCCCTTGTTGTCTCTGGAGTCATTCTTCCTTTTTTATGATGACAAATTGGAATCCTCTACAGTGTGTCTTTCATCTCAGACACTGAGATTTTCCTTTTTGAAAGCCTGTTTAATTTCGTTCTTTTTTGCTTTGTGCCTTTCCCCCAAGTTGTAGAACTTGCGAATGACAAAAGTTGTTGTAATCCCTGTTTTAATGTGTTGCTCCACTGATTCTGTCATCTGTGCCATTTGGGGGCTGGTTTAATTTATTGCTGTTTCTCTTCATTATCAGTCATGCTGTCTTGCTCTGTAGTCTACTTTTACCTTCCAAGCCTTGTAGTTTTTGATTGACAAAATATTATAAATTTTAATATGTGCATGCTCTTTGTTTGTTCTTTGTTCTTGAAGTATTCCAGAACTTTGTTAGGAACTCATTTTTAGTTACTTGGGGACAGTTTGATCCTTTCAGATCTTACTTTGAAGCTTTCTTGGGAAGGAACAGAATGGGGATATTGAGTCAGAGGTTGGCTTTGCCCCACTCAGATCTCTGAGCAGTCTTTCTGCTTCCTTGTGTCTTAGGAGATTTCGTAATATGCCTGGACTTTTGGTTTGCCACAGTAGAGGATTGTTATTGAAAGCAGAACAAGAGATGCTAAATCAGAATAGCCAAGATATCTTTTTGAATGCTTTGTCTTGCCATTAAAGCTATCAGGACTTAGGGTTTAAGAGTAGTGGTTGAAAGTTGGATAAAAATGAAATAGATTTTAATTGGAAAATTGAAAAAAAAAAACTGTGCTGACTAGGTTATATGCAAAGTAAAAATTAAATAGTTGTGGGAAGATGTGATTACTCTTGTCCTTCTGGATGGGGTAGCTGAGTATCCTAGTCGTGGCCTTATCAATAGTACTTGGGAATTGCGAATGTGAGTTTTGTGACTCTGTCATGGCCAGCAGACAATCTCTCATGTTCTCACTTCCTATCTTGGGATGGGCCTTCGTTTCTTCACCTGCGCTAAAATTTTATGATTTTGTTATATTAAAACTAGGGTGATTTAATAGAGGCATCTATCTGTCGAACAACCTTGACTGAAGTTCATGCAGACAGATAAACATCCAGCTTCATCAAGCAGAATTAGTCCAGGACCTAAGGTATAATCTAATAGGCGCATGTCGGTTCCTTTCTAGATGGTTTGTAATCTAGTCTTGAGAAATTTGTATGTGAATTTCAAGCTTTTCTTGCTTCAAAATACCCCCCCCTTTTTCTGTTTTTCCATAAAATCCTTGAAATTCTTTCAGTAAATGGTCCTTTTCCAAACAAATTAATAAAAGTGACAACAAATGGTTGTCAACTGAAGCTTTTTTTGTGCTACATAATATTCCTCAATGTTCTTATGTGTTTTTTTATTTGAGCCTCACAGGAAGACAGGAAGGTAGTCAGACTGTGTTTGTGGTGGAGTAGACCTTGGGACTCAAACTTTGGCCCCTTAGCTTATCATTTGTTGTACAGACAATCCCCTCCCTCCGCTAGAGTGCTATTTGCCTAATATCTTCATAGTTTACAATTGACAAGATGTCCTAATAATTATGATTGATTTTATTTTCATCTTCCAAACCTTGTGATAAACCGTTTTTACTAATGAAGAAATTAAAGTTGATCCGGGGGGAAGCGTGTATACAACATCTAGAAAGTAATGGAGTCTGCACTCCAAATTCTACTGTCTCCACTAAGTTGTATTTATTTTTGACATGAAAATAAGACAGGCAATGCTGGGCTTATTGAAATGGTTGATATTTTGCCCCCATTCTGATTAAATATAAATACATGTGCACCTGTGGAAGTTTCATTATTCTGCTTTTGGTCGAACTATTTCATACTGATCTTTGTGATGGTCGCCTGGGTATGCCTTCCTCACACTCACACACTGCTTAAGGATGTGTCTGTGTTTCTACTTCCTGTTGGAAACCCTCAATGATCATGCTGATTTTTCACATGGTCATTGATTACCTTCATATGTGACTGTAGTTTGAAAAGACACAGATAACAAAGTGAAATTGGGATTGAACCTAGCACACTCAGATATCATGTAAAATGTGTTATGGGCAGATGACAGATGAATGCCGACTAGTGTGTTCAAGTGGCACATGTGTGGAGGCTGGAGATGCAGGAGCAGGGAGATGCAATCCAGTTAGTCTTTCTAAATAATTGCTGCAAGATTTTCAAACCGGATCTCAACTTGGTAACATACATGAGCTCAAATGTAGCTTGACTTTCTTTTAAAATTGATTTATTTATTTGAAAGTCACAGTTACAAAGACAGGGAGAGAGACGGAGGGAGAGACATCTTTCATCTGCTAGTCTCTCCTAAATGGCTGCCACAGCTTGTGCTGGGCAAGGTAGAAGTGAGAAATCAGGATCTTTAACCAGGTGGCAGGGCCCCAGGCACTTGGGATATCTTCTGTTGCTTTCCCAAGCCATTAGAAGGGAGCAGGAGTGGAAGTGGAATGCCTGAGACAAAAACTAGTCTCCCTATGGGAAGCCAGGGTCACAGCTCATGGCTTATCCCACTATGCCACAATACTGGCAGCACAGCTTAACTTCTGGTGGTGAATAGGCAGCTCAGGGACTGGAATAAAGTTCCTGATACCAGCTTGCGTTCTTGGTTGTTTTTCACTTGTAAAATATTTCAGATAAGGTCATGTCCTTTTCCCTGGCTGGAGCTATGGAACTGGACGGTGGCTGGCATGGAGGGGTCTCGGTGTGCTCCTCCTTCCAGACGTGAGAGCTACCGCTCTGCCCTCTGTCCAGCTTTCAGTGTGACATTTGTGAGCAGCTTGGTGGATCTGACACCCATGTGACAGCAAGGAAGTGTGCGAGCAGAGCCGTTTGCTGCAGGACCCAGCAGTGTGCGTTTGCTGCACATCAGGCCGAGCAGCAGCAGTTAGCTAGATCTGACAGTCACCTGTGAGCTCCTTCTGCCTGCAGTGCAGAGTGTCTTCTGAGGATGTGTGTGTTTACCCACTGGTTGACATTTCACAGGATGGAATTCTCTGAGCCAGTTTCCACACCTTCCTCCGGATTCACTCTTCAGCGTGCTGCTCTGCGATGGCTTTCTAAAGCAGAAGCCCATAGTTGTATCTTTTCTCTCTTCTTGTGGAACTCCATATTAAGAAGTAATAAGTAATATATTTAAACCTAAGTATTTATGTAGCTCAAATAGCAAAATAATATATGATTAGATGTTTTCAGTATTACTGCTCTGGCCCTGCACTTGTCTAGTCTTTTGTCACCTCTCCTTGTGACCATTGGTGAAAGAAGGCTGAAATGAAAGGAGATAATGCCAGAGCAGGTTATTTACTATATAAAGAAAGTGGCCATTGGAGTAGATGTGGGCTGGCATCCAGTTTGTGTTTACCAAGCCATCCTCTATCAAGTGGAGTTCCATTGGGCCAGATCAAAGAGGACCATTTCCCGATTCTTACACAAGTGGCTTACCAGCTGATAATATCCTTGAATGATGTATTTTGTTGCAGTTTCATCTGAAAACCTGCTGTTTCTGCCATTGTTATTGTTTCCTTACATATCATGTATCTCTTGTTTGCTTATGTGTTTCTCTACCTGTGTACATACCCACTTATGCCATTTTGTATCATGTCCAGGCAAATTCCATGTAGGCTTGAATGATAAAGATCGTTCATTCTTGGAAAAAAAAGCCTCAGAAGGAAGAAGCCACCTTATATGTGTTTGATGTTGTGTAAGGTGCTTTGTAGTATAGGATTGAATTTAAGTTACTTTATTTGGGTTCTTTGGGAACGCTAGCTTCTTGAAATGACGTTAGACAGTGCTAGCTGTGGATGCTTGAGAAGTGTTACTTCATAAACTGTAAATAAAATAAACCAAGGATGAATAATACAGACTTAGTAATCATTGTGGTGATGAAAGATCATTTTGAAAAAGAAATACTCTTAAGTGAATATGATCATAAGTGCATAATTACATGATGAATCAGTATTCCAAATATCCTAATGTGCAAATAGATGCTTGAGACAAGGTTTATATTTCCAGTCATAGTATTATAGTAGGGTTTGAAAACTACTGCATCTCAAGCAGATCATACATATAAGGTTTGTTCTGGAAAACCGTATTGGATGACTCCAAGGGGACTGAATAAGTCCCTGATGTCAAAAATATATGACAAAAATTAAATCATACTCAATCTAGGAGTGAATGCAGTCACTATTTCAAAATGTTTCATGTAAAGTTCATTAAAAATATGTGCATTAGGAATTTATAATTTATAAATTATAATTTATAATTGACATTTGGCTGATTTCTGTGTCTAAAAGCTTATGTATTCAAGCTAAGTGAGTTTTGTGTTTTCTTATTAGGAGAACGAGATGCTGCTTTCTGTTTGGGTCATTTTATACTCAGTCTGTCATTGTTATTTCTCTTCGCAGAAGTTGCGGCTTCTTGAAGAGCTTGAAGACACTTGGCTCCCTTATGTGACCCCTAAAGATGATGAATTCTACCAACAGGTGAGACGCTATAATGGTTTCGTCAGCTTTTAGTGATGTGCTCTGATTTCGCTGTTCTGTCTGAGAAGGCTGCGCACAGGCGGGTCACTCCATGTCTGCTCATCACCTACAGAGCTTACAGATTTCCTCTCACTCTGTATTTTGTTGTGAGCTTAGTGCTCCAGCACGTAGGACTTGTTCTATTTCCTCACACTTTTTGGCTTCAGTTCATGGTGATTTTTAAAAAATTATTTCATTTTATTTGAATATGGGAGAGGGAGAAACTAGCAGAGAGAGATCATTCATCTGCTGATTCACTCCCCAAATGCCTGTGATAGTCAGGGCTTGGCCATACCAAAATCAGGAGCCTGGAATCCATCCATTTCTCCCCCATGGATGGAAGGGAATCAAGAGCTTTACCCATGACCCTTCATCTCCCAGAGTATGCATTAGCAGGAAACTAGGTTGGAAGTGGAGTAACTGGGACTTGAACCAGGCACTCTGATGTGGGATGCAGGTGTGGGATGCAGGTGATGCAGGTGAGTTAACTTCTGCATCAAACGATCTTCTCTACTCAATGCTATTTCTAATGTATAGAACCAGCCATCCTTTGTTCCTTCTGCCAATTTGGAAGGTCAGTTAGGCATCACCCTCTTTGTGAAAATTTCCCCAGTTCTCCGTACCTACAGCCAAGTTGCTTCCACTCTATCCTTCGGTATTACACCTTGTAACTAACTCTATTGCATCACTCTTCACTTGGTATTGTAATTCTGTGACTCTGTCCCTGAATTGGCACTTTTTCAATTGAAATGACAAAAATTCAAAATAAACTCTTTTTGATCAAAAATTGGGAATTTGTTGATTTGATTTAGATGTTTAGGAGGACATGTATGAATCTAACCCTTCAAAAGATATCATTGTGTTACTCCTTTTCTCTCTCTCTGTCTCTCTCTCTCTCTCTTTGGCTTAGCTCTGTAGGACTTCATACTAAGTAGGCTCTCACCTGACAGCCTGAGGGACCTTTAACATCTGGGATTTTAGAAGAAGCTTAGTGAGATCTTTTTTCAGTGGTTCCATCACATTTTGCTGGGAATGATCATGGTCTTGTTTGAGCCACTTGCCTGACGTGCAACCAGTCATTGATTCAGAAGAGTGGGATACTCCTGTTTGCCTGGCCTAGGCCACGTACTCTGTCTTGGGGTTGGATTGAATGCATCATTCCTGCCCATACAATACAGTCTATGTGTCAGACATGACTGACTCTCCCAAAGCGAGATTGGACTCCTTTTCACAATGAGGAAGGATTAGGCAAAGTTGGCAGGCAAAAGAGAATGAATCCTTACCTATTTTTCCCTGCTGGCACTTGGGATGTAGGAATTAGGCCGTGGTATCTCTTTGTCTCATGCCTCCTTAGATAGCAGACTCTCAGTAACCAAGGAAGGAAGAGAAGAAAAAAAGTTACTCATCTAGAATCCAGGTCCCCTAGTTCATTATCATTTCTAGAACATTGATTTTCATCCCCTACCTCATTGGATCTTTGCTCTTTGACCTGATGAGTCCTCTAATGGATATTCCCGAGTTTTTCTTTGCTCCTCACAATCCTTGACACTGCAGTGCTTTTCAGAGCAAGATAGAAATCTAAGCATATCTTCCCCCTGCTTGACGTCCCACAGCGACTGTTCATCATCCATTACCGTGTCTTCCCCCTGGGTACCCGGACTGGATATGTGCAGTTTCTTAGACTAGCTTTGCAGTTTCCTGTTTGGGGCTTTCCTCCCGTCCCCCGAAGCCTCTGTTGTCATGCCTCACACTCCTTAGCTGGCTCTTCGTTCAACTTCTGTGTTCAGAATCACTCACATGGCGTCGTCTGCACAATGCTTCCCTCACACCCAGTTCAGAGCGTAGGCTCAGCTCCCTTGTTGTACTTGGTCGATGTCCTTACTAGCATTCATCTTCCTTGATTATAATGGTTTTCCTATAAGCCAATTTCCCCTCATCCTCTGCATGTTGTTCAGTGCCTGGAACCTAGCAAGCACTTAGTTTGCTTGTTTGAATGAATGAGCAGCTTTTGCATATGCTAAAAACACATTTATATAATTATGAGTTTAGTATGATTTGATCCTTGCTTTTGCTCACAGAGATGCTTCCCCAGGGAGGTAGTATTTGGAAAGATGTGCAGGATGTATACAGAATTATGGCCTGGGGTATGCTCCTTTTAGCTTTCCTGGTTTTTCAGTGATCTGCAGTGACTGCATTGTTTTAGAGTCAAGGAAAATAAAAAATTTTTTTTTCAAGGGTGAAATAAGTTAGCCCACAAAGTTTGGTTGGTTCTGAAATGCTTGCTAATATTTTCATAGGTAAAAGCCTTTCTGGTATGGTTACATGCACAGTTACAAAGCAGCTGTTGAGCCATTTCAGCTTTTGGATTGTGAAAGTAGTACATGAAGAATTAAATACAAAAGGTTATCAGCCTGCTGCGCTCTGAACCAGCCATCCAGCGAGGGACAAAAGGAAACCTAAATGCAAACAGAACAGCGTTCAAGGCTTCGCTTTTATTTTTCCCAGATCCATAATAAACTCTGTTATCAATATCTAATCATGTTAAATACACCTTATCATAAGGCTTAGTGTTTCAATAAAACCTTGCTGAAAAGAAAATGTGTAGTGAAAATACTATAAAATGAAAAACATAGTTATTCATTTGAAAGGTGGACAGAGACAGACAGACAGAGAGACGGGTTAGACAAGTAGATAGAGTGAATTTTCATCCACTGGTTCTCCACAGTAGCTGAGGCTGGGAATTCAATCCAGGATTCCTATGTAGGTGGCAGGACCCCAACTAATTGAGCCATTCCTACTGCCCCCCAGGTTGTGCAGTAGCAGGCAGGTGGCATCAGAACTGGGACTCACAGCCAGGTCCGCTGATACTGAATATGGGTGTCCTAACTGATGGCTTAACCACAAGGCTGAATGCCTGCCCCATGAAAATACTTTTAATGACATGAATACATGCTCTAATTCCAACTGCCTACACAGCGACTCTACCTGGAAGTCTTACAGGTACATCTGACTCAGTGTGATGTGTGCTACTGAGTTAAATAAATATTATTACTTAAACAAATGTATGTAGCTCCCTCACTCTGTGCCAGGCAAGCTCTCAGTCATTAGAGAAGACGTTGTAAAAACAGCAACAAAAGACTCCTGCCTACTTAGAGCTTAGTTTTTGCAGAGTGGGTGGTGTGGGAATACCTAGACCTTGTAGAGGCATAGGATGAAGCCATGTAGATACTTGTGGGAAGAATGATCTGGGCCAGGGAGCAACAAAGCCTCCGAGGTGGGTTTGAAAGGAAAAGTACCCGAGGCTAGCATCTGGCATGGAGGGAGAGGTGGGGAGAACAGAGGCGGTGAGATCCGAGAACGATAGGCCCAGTTCTACAAGAACATGCAGTCTGAGGTCAGAATGTTGGTGGTTAACCTGGAGATGAGGAGGTGTGTGTAGGTTTGAAACACATGTGGGACAGGGTGTGGCTTAGATTTCAATGCAGACCCACTTCCCAAGGCTGCCCTGTTCATTCTTTTCTCTAGTCCCAACTCGCCCCACCCCTGTCCTGATCTCCAGATGTTGCTATCCTTGGTTCCTCCCTGTTGCTCCTGCCCCCGCCTTTTGTCACCTATTCAGCCATTCTCAGGTTGTTTTGTCTTTTCCAGTCCCACAGATGCCATCACAGATCAGGTTCCCATTTGTTGTCTTCCACCTACACGGTTGTAGCATTCACCTAGTTGATGTTCTGGTGTGTTCCCTAGTTGCCATCCGAAGTGTGTTCCCATGAGCCGGTCTGACTTGTACCTTCTTATTTAACATATCTTGTTGAGTCTCTGTTGCTGCCCAAGTGAAGTTCAAATTCCTTGGCCTACTTCCCGTAAGGCTGTTGACTGACCACATGACCCAGCCTACTTCTGTTATCTGCACTTTGCCTCATGTGGCATCGCCCTTAACCTCCTCTCCTACAAAGTGTCCCTTGCCAGTTCCTTTCTCTACTCACGGGGATTTTTCTTAAACACAGAAGAGCTTGCTTCCAAGTGGAAAATATATGTATTGATCGACATTGGGTCTCCATGGGTACGACCCTAGCAGTGGGTGCTTAGTGATTCCAGAGATAGCACATTTCACCCTTCCCAGCACATTGAGGAAACCTGTACTGTATGTGCCAAAACCAAGTAACTCACCTTTCAATTCCATTCTCTACAAGCTCTGTGAAGTACCCTTGTATCATGAAGACTCCAGGAAATCCCTTTTATCTTAACAGGTACTACAGACCTGCCCACTTTCAAAATGCCTTGAATAATCAGACCACACATCATGACCACTGCCTCTGACACTGTGACCGAAGCCACCATCATCTTTCCTGCAGTCTCCTCCGAACTTCTCCCTTCCTGTACACTCCTCTATGTGGCCCCTTTTAACACAGCATTTCCAATAAATCAGCTTGTTGTACTTCTCTGTTCAGAACCTCTTGATGGTTTCCCAGAATCAAAGCCTGGGACCTCACATTCACTGTGATGTGTGCTGTGTGTGTGCGCTGTGTCCTCACTCCTTTCTCACCTTGTCCTTCTCTGGCCTTCTTCCTCTTCCTGGAATAATCCAAGCACATTCCCGTTCCCGTGGCCTGGAACTCTCTTCCTGGCTTCAGGGACCACAGAGCTTGCATCCTCGTGTTTTGCATTCTCCTGCCTCCATGTCATCTTATGGGGAGGCCTTCCCTGGCTGCACTCACACCACCATCCCGGTGCTGCCTCCTTGGCTTGGTGTCTCTCTGCAGCGCTTAGCTCCATTTTAGCAGCTACTTTTGCCATGTGTTTGGGAGTTGTCTGGCTCTCCCTGGCTCCAGGAGATCCTGTAGACAACACACTCACCTTTGGATTCCCAGCACCCAGTGCTTTGTGCATAGTATGTGCTCAATATATGTATGTATTCAAAGCATACAAAATCTTTCTCTAAATGTGTTGCCAGTTTTTGGTCT